CCGTTCTTCATTTCCGCCACCTCCCATGCTCAGCTCCCCTGGAATCCTGGTTGTCTTTACACAGCCATTAGCATCCCTTCATTCCTGGAGCCCGGAGTGGTCTGCTTTATTTTCTATCCAGCTACTTCACCTCACCTTATGCAAACCATTCACGTCCAGCCATGCCTTCTGATACACTCAGCTGAGGGTGAGCCTCTCCAGCCTCTGCCTGGGCCAACATCACCTAGCTTCCCTTATCTCTTTCTTCACAGGTTCCTTAACCCCTCAGAAATGGAAGACATCCTGCCCCCCCTCTATCCCTCGCTATCCCTGCCACCAAGACCCCTTCCCGCAGCCCTGCAAACTTCTCTAGTCCTCTGGCCTGGGAAACTATCATTTTCATGCTCTTCTCTCATAACATCCAGAGGGTCTCCTGGGAGTGGTATTCACTGCTTGTGTGTAGGCTTTACTTGAATCCTGAATCAGGAACCTCATTTTTATTCATATAGCAAGTTGAGACTGGGAAGGTACACTTGCTCTTTACAGAGGTGAGGAGACTGAGCCCACTGACCTTGCTGAGGGTTATGACTGAGCTACCACCACACACATTTCTGTTCCCCACGTTCCTGTTTAGGAAGGCAGCCATGTGATATTCTACATGGAAACAGGGAAACTGAGGCACAGCTATTTCCAAAGACTCAGCAAGTCAGCAGATAAGGATGGTTTTTCTGACTCCTTAAGACAGAATTTCCTGGAAGTGGGGCCTGTGATTCCTTCCTCTGTGTTTCTCCCTTCCGTGCTCACTGAGGGCCTCTAAACCTAGTGGATATCCCATCCATGGTGTCACCTGACTCTCAGGACTCCACTGGGCCATCAGCTCTTGCAGGGCTGGGGCTGTGTCCATGGTGGGGGGTGGGGATGCTATCCAAAGTGGTTAGAGCACAAGTCCTCAGTTTCCAGAGATACCCAGGCCTCCCTCTGCCCTACCAACCGGATCCCCTACCTTGACATAGTCATACAAACAGCCTTCGGAAGGCTCCAGGTCAAACTGCCAGAAGACAAGCTTCACCCTGAATCCTGTGGGCACTGTAATCACAGTGGTTTTGTCAAGGTTGTTGGGGTAAGGCTTGGGGTACAGAGGAGAAGTCACTTCCCCAAAGAGCTTCTGTGAAAGGGGGATGGAGCCCCCCATATTGCAGAACAGGATCGGCACCAGGAGATAAAAGAGCCACCTGCCGAAAAGAAAGTGGGTGTCTAGTGCTGAAGGGGGGTAGCACCCCTACATTTGGGCAGCGACTGGCGTAGGGGTTGGGATGGTCATACCGCTCAGCATTTTCCTCTCTGGCCATTTTACACCTTATAGAGATTTTCTAGGTGGGGGTGGGTGAAGGGGAGAGGCTGGTCTTTGCAGCCGCTGCATTGGGTGTTCCTCCCCTCAGGGCAATGTCCAGTCTAGAGGTCATCATACTCCCTCTGCCTGTCTCCCCATCCTCCCCTGCCCTCTCCCACCACTCCCCTCCTCTTCCCGGAATAGGGCTGGCTTGGGACCAGTTAATTGAGGCTGAGGGTTACCAGTCATGGCTCTTTGATAGGGCTCCCAAAGGCTCAGCAGAGACCTCTGGAAGAAACAGCCTATGGAATACAGAGTCATGCACAGAGCATTCTCCTCCTGGGTACAGTGGATCCTCTCCTCTTATGCTCCCCTGCTAGGAGCTGGGTGGGAGAAGGGAACATGGCCATCATCTCATGGGTCTAAGATCTCCTTTTGTCCTCAGGAGGAGGGATGGGGGGGGGATGTATTGACATGTGCACGCTTGTGTGTAAGGGAATAGGTAAGGTATATAGAGAGGGAGGGGTGTTCCTATCTTCCTGAATGAATTTGGGAGCAGGGTCGCCTTCCATGCCCAGGATTCTCTCCTCTGGCTTCTCCCTCCCTCCTGGGTCCCCATCAGCCTTACTCACATTTCTCAAGGCCTGTCTTTGGATCCTGGACTCTGCTGACAGTGTCTTCATCCACTCCGTGTTGAGGGAGAGAGCGGTCATGCAGGGGAGGGAAGGCGGAGGGAATGACTGTGGAGGGGAAGGAGGGGACCATTCCCGGAGGAATGTTGTAGGGAATGAACTATTTGCATAAACAAAACCGAAAAAAAAAAAAAACAGTTTCCAGTTTAATGTAGTTTTGGTTTTGAAATCCCTGATGGTGGTGCCACCTGCTGGCCGGCCAAGGGAAAGGCTCAGGAGATGGGCCTGAGTTTTTAGCCAGGAGAAAGCCCTCGGTGGGAAGGCCAGACCTCTGGGTTTCTAAATCTGATCTGAAGTCTACCTTTCTTCGGGGACTGCTCCTATGACAAAGGCAACGGAAATTGCAGTTGGGGGTTGGGAGCTCTTTTTCTGCATTGCCCTGTTCCATTAATCCGGTTCTTCCTGTCCTTAGTCACCCAGGAATGGCGAGGCTTTTAAGGTCCAGGACGAGGTAACAAGAACAACAGTGAGGCAGAGAGGGCGTTGCGGGAGCAGAAGGAAGAGAATGGAGTTTGGTTGCATTGGGGCCCCAACCTACATCCCCCATGAATGACTTAAATATCCCATCCTTTTTTTTTTTTTTTTTTTTTTTTAAAAACAATCCCACAGCATTTATTGTCCTCTGGTAAGAACATAAAGGTAATCAAAACAATACGAACAAGGGTTTTAGAACTATATTCCCAACAAAGGACATCTAAAAAAACAAACTGCGTGGCCTTCTCAAGAATTTCTCACTTCACTTATCATTCATTCTAGTTGGAGACACTTTGGAGCAGGGTAATATTATCTCCTTTTAGCATGATCCGACCCAGTTGTTTTCTTGACTTTGTTTGCTTGACTCTGATTGCTATGTCGGGGTGACCCTACAGCAGCACTAGAACCTGTTTTAAAACCTTTCCTCCCAACTTCAATGAAGTTAAGCCTGCCAGTGAATTTGGCTGTTCTAGAGGCAAGGGAAGCTGAGTGAGGGTAGAGACATCCTCTTCCCCTTGGCATCTGGTTTGAGCCCCTGAGCGTCAGTCTGTCTAGGGCTAGGCAGACAGTGTGGCTGTGGACCATTGGTGACTCAGTCTTTCTTCGAGAAGGCCAGGCTCCTGGGAGGGAGGGGGTGGGCCTCTAGTCTCTCCTGTGCTCCAGATCCTAGTCTCCTAATTTAAAAGTTTGCTCTCTGTGGAAGCCTTATTTCTCAACTCTCCATGGCTCAAATGCCCTATGGCCCTGGATTCCAGAGGGAGGCTCAGACTGGCCCTTGTAGCCTATCCTGCTTGTTTCTTCAATTGGATTAATCCCTCTTTTCCTCCACCCACCTGCCCACTCATCCATCCGTGTATGGATTACCTATTACATGCCAGGCACTTTTCCAAGCAGTGGATTGCAAGGACTCACAAAAAGATGGTGCAGTTCACCATTAGGCAGTGACTAAGTCATCACTGCATGTAGTTCGAGAGCAGGTATAGGAAGATGGGAGGTCAGCCAAGGTGTGGAGGGTTCCCCCAGCAGGCCTACAGTGTCAGAGCTGAGGAAAGAACCTGATAGCAGGGCTGATCCATGACATAATCCCTGACATGACCCATGACCTTGTCAGGTCAAGAAGGACAAAAGATAGACAAGAGGTTAAGGACCTGATCAGGAGACAAGAAAGAAGGGGGGTATTGTCCAGCAAGTTGCACATTAGCATTCGGACAGTACTGTGTGTGTGTGTGTGTGTGTGTGTGTTGCATTCATAGTGGAGGCAGAATGGCGGAGATCACAGATAAGGAGCAGGTGGTCCAAGAAGGTAAGTCTTAGCTGACATTTCTCATCCATTCATCCCAGGCATTCTGAGTTCTGTGCTGGTATCATCTCAAGTGACAAACCTGGGCCTGCCTCATCAGTTTGGTCCCAGCCCTGTCTCCCCCCTGCCCCGTCACTCAAGGGAACCCTTACTTGCACATTTACTGTATACCCTTGACTTATACCAAGGATAGAAAGAAGAAATGGCTGTATGTGGATTGTCTCTGCACTGGTTTATTTTCATTTTTTTTCTGCACTGGTTTATTTATTTATTTTGAATGGATAAATAAATTGTGGTTTATTCATACAATGGAATAATATACAACATAAAGAATTTCACAAATCTTCACAACATTTTCAGATACATTAATAAACAAAAGTAGCAAATCACAAAAATATGTAATATGTGATGTCAATTTTATAAACTTCAACATAAGCAAAATTATTCAATATGATAAAAGTCAGAATAGTGTGTATATGTAGGCAGATACTGACTCTGAAGGACCCTGAGGAAACTGTCTGGAGTGCTGGGGATTTCCATAACTTGATCTAGGTAGTGGTTTTATGGATGTATATATATGAGAAAAAAATAAAACTTTCCTATTAAAAGATTAGTATACCATACACAATAAATGTATGCTATACCTGAATTAAAAAGTATAAAACCAAACTTGATGTCAGTTAATGCATATTTGTTGGGAATTTGACAATGTGCTAAAAGTTATTCATGATAAAGAATAGAATTTATGTTCTAGCCAAGAATTTTTATAAAATTACAGGATAAAATTGGAAGAAAAACATTATAAATGCCTCAAAATTACCTAAAGCAATTCAAATTTCTTTTTTTTTTAATTTTTAAAATTGGAGTTCAATTTGCCAACATATAGCATTACACCCAGTCTTCATTGGTTTAAAAACCAGTATTGAAGACAGTGTCTATTTTATTCTTCCTTCCTCTTAGGTTTGGATTCTGGAGGAAGAAAGTTTCTCTCTTAAAGTAGTGGTAGGTTTCCTTTTGTGGCTATATCTATATTTAGATATCTAGCTCTATATAAATCTACAGGTATATACCTAAATATATATGCCTAGATATATACCTAGAAAGAAAAAAACATCATTTTTTCTTTTATTTTTTAAAAGATTTTATTTATTTGTTTGAGAGAGAGGGACAGCTTGAGAGAAGAGGAGAGAGCATGAGTAGGCGGGGGGGGGGGGGGGAGAGAAAATAGGAGAAGCAGAATCCTTGCCTAGCAGGGAGCTTGATGCCGGGTTCTGTGTCAGGACCCTGAGATCATGACCTGAGCCAAAGGCAGATGCTTAACTGACTGAGCCGCCAGGGGTCCAGAAACATCATGTTTTCAATAATAAAAATAAGTAAAAAATACATGCTCATTAAATTAAATTTAGCAAATGCAGAAGAGTACGGGAAAACAAACGGCCAAAATTATACCACCTAAAACAACTTCTGATTAATATTTTAGAGTGTTTTTATTTTTAATTTTTAAATTTTTATTATTTTTAAAGATTTTATTTACTTATTCATGAGAGACACACAGAGAGAGGGAGAGAGAGAAGCAGGATCCATGCACGGAGCCCAATGTGAGACTCGATCCTGGGATTCCAGGATCACGCCCTGGGCCCAAGGCAGACACTTAACTGCTGAGCCACCTAGGCATCCTTAGAGGTTTTTTTTTTTTTTTTTAAAGATTTTATTTATTTATTCATTAGAAACAGACACACACACACACACACACACACACACACACACACACACAGGCAGAGGGAGAAGCAGGCTCCATGCAGGGAGCCCCACGTGGGACTCGATCCCGGGTCTTGAGGATCACGCCCTGGGCTGAAGGCGGCGCTAAACCGCTGAGCCACCCAGGCTGCCCCCTAGAGTTTTTAATAGCCTTTTATACTATAAGTTTAAAATGGTTTATTTATTTTTAGAGATTTTATTTATTTATTCATGAGAGACACACAGAGAGAGGCAGAGATGCAGGCAGAGGGAGAAGCAGGCTCCCCGCGGGAAGCCCCATGTGGGGCTCCACCCTGGACCCTGAGATCATGTCCTGAGCCAAAGGCAGGCGCTCAACCGCTGAGCCACCCAGGTGTCCCTAAAAATGTTTTTAAAAATTGAAGTAACCATATGTATGAACAATTTTGAATCCTGCTGTTTTTTCAAAGACCAATTTAACCTTTATTATTTATTTAAGACTTATTATTTCAGATTTAGAGAGTGTGTACATGAGTGGGAGGGGCGGAGGAAGAGAGAGAGAGAGAATCTCAAGCAGATTCCTTGCTGAGCCCCAGGTAGGGCTCCAGCTCATAACTCTGAGATCACTATCTGAGCTGAAGCCAAGAGTTGGGCACTTAACCAACTGTACCACCTAGGCGCCCCAAAGATCAATTTAACCTTTAGCCATATAGCTAACTTGACCTTCAATGCTAGCAAATTTGCTATCTTCTATTTTGTGGTATTAATTTTCTATTTCCATTGAACAATCATATTCTACTTGTATCTTTCACTGTAAATCATCTCAAGTCCTTACTAAAAGTGAAAGAGTTGGTCTTCTCAGGGGGCGCCCACACCCAGGTGTCCAGCAGCACTGGGGGGTGTGTGCCCAAGCATCCAGCCCAGTGCTGGGCTCATCTTGGTGTCTGCAGGAGATGGGGCCAGCAGGAAAGTGTGAGCCTGGTGTTGTCATCTTCACTGAAGCAGGAATTCCCAGGGGAACCTGTAAGGATGTGGGGATTGGGATGGGGAAGCAGAGTAGGTGTTGAGGACAATCTGGAGGTATCCTGGTGTACTGGAAGGCATGTGGCCTTTGCAGTCCTCTACTGGCTGCGGGTTTGGGGCAAGTCACGTCATCTCCCTGGGCTTCAGTTTCCCTGTTTGTGAAATGTGGCCAATAACACCTCCATTGCAAACTTGGTTTGAGGAGTCAACGAAATAACCCGTGAAGCGCCTATTATGCAGAAGAGCTAAACCAAAATGGGCCACTTACTATAATTGCAGCTAGGAGATATGGTGGGTGGTGAAGCCAATAGTTTGAATGTGTGAAGGCCAACTAAAGGGGCTTTGGAACGTTTCCGAAAGAAAAGCAATTAAGACCACATCCCCCATACTCCACTTGAACAGGGGGATGGGAAGGTGACTGTCTCCCACGAGAGTACAGAAGAAGCAGTGTCAGCAGGACATGAAATTTAAAGCGAAACTGGCTGAGATGTCCAAGGCTTCCCTGGGCAGAGCACAAACTAGCAGAAAGGTAGAGGAGGAGGAGGAGGAGGAGGAGGAGGAGCAGGAGGAAGGGGCATTAGGAAGGAGGAGGACTTCTCTCGCACAGGGGACAGGGCAGCAGTCACTTGAATAGGGATTCCCTGCCCCCATCCCCAACCCTGAGCCCAGTCCTGCTCCTAACCCTCTCTTGGGGGACCTCCACAGCTGAGTGTCACCGCTCAAGGGTCCCCAGGGTCAGTCCTTCCCATCCATCACTCCCTTGATCCAGTCCAGGTAGTTGAGCACTTTGGTGTAGAAGCCATAGCCCTTGCCACACCCGATGCCCCAGGAGACGATGCCCGTGGCCACCCAGTGATGGGCACGCTCATCCCATACCACATAGACACCGCCACTGTCCCCCTGGCAGACGCTCTGCTGCCTCATCTTATCCCCAGCGCAGAACATGTTGGCAGAAAACACCTCGGATCTCTGCTTGTCTTGGAGCCAGGCCTGGCAGGCCGCTCGCGGGGCGACGGGCAGCCTCGAGTACTTCAGCTCCGTGGTTAACCAGCCCAGGTCCACGCCGAAGCCGCTGACGTAGCCCCACACGCCGCTGCGGTACAGGGCCTCGCGCTCGGGCAGGCAGACGGGGAGCAGGCTGGGCCCGAGCGGCACGCGGCGCTGGAGCTCCAGGAGCGCGAGGTCCCCGTCGAAGTTGCCGGCCTCGTGCTGGCGGTAGTCCGGGTGCACCACCACTCGGCGCACCGGGTGGCTCCCCAGCCGCAGCATCTCGTCGATGCTCGTGTGGCCCAGGAACACATGCACGCTGCGGTTCTTCCCGAGGAGGACGCCGTCCTTGGGTTGGATGGTGTGGGCGGCAGTGAGGATCCACCTGTCTCCCAGCAGGGCCCCGCCCCCTCGGCCGTAGATGCTGGTGAAAGCTTGCCAGGGGAAGTTGCCCAACTTGGCTCTGGAGGAACCGACGGCCTCCTGGCTCTGGGTGATGGGGGCCACGGGCCGGCCGCAGACTGGGAGAGAGGAGAGAGGTAGAGGTGACGATAGCAGCTGCAGCAAGACGCACTGGTTAAAGACCTGCTTCTGTGAAGTGCTCCCTCTCCCGCCTCCTCAAACATTTTCTTTTTCAAAAAAAAATCACTCTTATTTATTTGATCTTGATACTGGGATTTAGAAAAAATTTAATTCCAGTGTCATTAACATACGGCGTTCTTATATTAGTTTCAGGTGTGCAATATAGTGATCCGACACATTACTCCGTGCCCATCGCGGTAAGTGTACCCTTGATCCCCTTCACCTATTTCCCCCGCCCCTCAGACATTTGAAAGCCAGTTCTTTAGACTGTAGGCAGGGCCATCCTGAGCAAAATTATGCAGCAAGCAGTTTGTCCTTAGTGCCTGCTGCCTCTGTTTTTTGTGTCCTTCCTTCATGGTTGACATCTTCCACCATCACCTGCCCTCCAACCCACTCCCAAAACACTGCACCAGCCTGGCCTGACAGCTTTCTGAGGGTCAGGAGCAGGATCTGAGGTTTATTCAGATTGGGTTAGAAGGGCAATGCTTTGACTCAAAAAAAAAAAAATAGAAAAGGATTTCAGAAACAGTGAACTTGAACCCTGTATACTGCTGGTGGGAATGTAAAAGGATGCAGCCCCATTGGAAAATAGCCTGGCAAGTCCTCAAAAAGTTAAACACACAGGTGTGAAGTGACCTAACAATTCCCCTCCTAGGGGTATGCCCAAGAGAATAGAAAATGTTCACACAGACACTCGTACATGAATGCTCATAGTGGCAGTATGCAGAAGGCAAAAAGTGGAAACAACCCACATGTCTCTTAACTGATGAATGGATGAACAAAAGGTGGGATATCCATGGAAAGGAATGGAATCCTGACACTTGCTACAGCATGGATGAACCTTGAAAAAATGAAAGAAGCCAGACACAAAAGGCTGCATGCACACTGTATCATTCCCTTTATAGAAAATGTTAAGAACGGGCAAATCATAGAGACAGAGAATAGACTTATGGTTGCCATGGGTGGGGGAGGGGAGAGTCGGAGGAGGTACTGGGTTTCTTTTTGGGGTGATGGGAATGTTCTGGAATTAGTGGTAATGGTGGCACAACATTGTGAATGTACTAAAAATTACTGTATGGTACACATTAAAATGGTTAAGATGGTGAACTTTGTGTTACATAAGTTTTATCTTAATAAGTCTTAAAAACATGGTGGCCTTTCTGGCACTCTGGCATGGAGGTAGGGAGATATTTTGGGGATAGAGAGCCTGTCTGTATATCCTTATTTTTATTTTTAAAGAATGAAATATTTTATTTATTTATGATAGTCAGAGAGAGAGAGAGAGAGAGAGAGAGAGAGAGAGAGAGGCAGAGACATAGGCAGAGGGAGAAGCAGGCTCCATGTACCGGGAGCCCGACGTGGGATTTGATCCCGGGTCTCCAGGATCGCGCCCTGGGCCAAAGGCAGCTGCCAAACCGCTGCGCCACCCAGGGATCCCCTGTCTGTATATCCTTAAAGTGGACCATCCCAAGAGAGGGATTTTTCTTATTTCCACTCTTCTAACCCTCTTCTCCCTTACGGTCCCCTCTGATGGACTTCCTCTATGCATTTACTTTCTCAGCTAATCTTTTGATCTTGAATAAGGAACAAGATTCTTGCCTCCCGTTTTCTGGGCCTCCTTGGTTCCCCTCTACTGCACCTTCTGCCTTTCTCTCTCCCTTTCTACCCTAAGGCTTTCCTTTACCTCCCTGTGTCCCGCTCCCATGGGTCCCATGCACAGCTGAGTTTTCTTTGGTAAGTGGCCACAGGGTTGGCCCTGGGAGATCACTACTCACCAGGGACACAGTGAGGAAGCTCCTTCCTATCCTGTGTCTCCTTCCAGGGATTCTGGGGTGTGCAGGTGAGTGTCCCTGAGGAATGAAACGAGAGGAGAGAGAAAAACAGATTCAGAATTGGGAGGTGGGCATGGTGAGGTGTCCAGAGCACCTCAGGGCTCTTGGTGGGAGTGAGGAGAATAGGAGCTGGTTCCCCAGCAGGTGGGGACTCACCTGCTGGCACTGCCTGATAATAGGGCTCCCGGCAGCAGTGGTTCTGGATCTTGAGGGGGTCTGGATCTCCACGTGTGCTAATGGCCTTAGAGGCCCCACTGGCCTGGCTGATGGGCCGACGACTATGGTTCACATCTGTAGGAAACCAGTGGTCAGGAGGACCTAGAACAGGCAATCCAGGGGCTGATTCTGGTCCATGGCCATGTTTAGTTTCACTTGCACAGTCTTTTATTTAGAACATTTGAACTTTTTTCACTGATCAGGTTGTCAACAATAAAAAATGATTTAAAAAATTGAAAATAACTGTGATAAATTGGGTATGAGGAAAAAGGCATTTTCATACATGGCTAGTCAGTATGTATTAGCAAAACCTCTTTGGAGGAAAGTTTAGCAATGTCAAAATTTAAATTGCAAATGCTTTTTTGCCCAACATTTCATTTCTAAGAATTTACCCTTATACTAAAGATGTAGAGGCACAGCAGTACTGCTTGTGGCTGCAACATATCAGCGGGGGACTGGTTAAGTGCATTATGTGCATCACTCAAAGGAATACTATATGCTTATTAAAAAGAATTAGGCAATGCTAATTACATATATATGGGTTGATCCTTAAGACATATTATTGAGAGAAATGCTAAATTTAAGATATTATATTATGCACCCCCCACGTCTGCAACAATATGTATATTTGAATGACATAGAATGTCTTTGGAAGGATACCAAGAAGTGGACAACAGAGTTGTTTCTGAACAGGATAACCAGGGACTAGGGGCCAGAGATCAGAGGAGGACTTACTTCTTAAACACAATTACCATTTTATATTATTTTTATGTACCATGTTTTTTTTAAAAATTATCATGTGCATACATATCTCTCAAAAATCTGAGTTACCACTTGAAAATCTAGCATTTCACTAAAAAATCTGGACTTTTGGCTTCTCTGGAAAGAGGAAATGATCTACAAGCATTCGGCCAATAAATCTGCATGGAAACACCTGCTGGAACTGTGAGGTGGCAGTCCTTTTAATTGGGCTGCTCACCAGCAGGGGCACAGCTGGGTCACTCAAGCTTCCACTTGTCACTTTAGATTAGGGGCCATGGCCATGGACACAGGCTGCACCCCCAGGATGGACACTCACCCACAGCTTGGTAGAGGGCCAGGAAGCCCCTGTGGAGGCCAGTGGTTCTGTCCCGAGAGGAGGCGGGGGCCCGGAAAGTCAGCCGCAATCGGTTTCCTGGGGAAACAAACTCCCTCTGACCAGGGGGGCTGCCCAGCGAGGAGCCCTGTTGCCCACAGAACCGACTTGGATCCATCCCACTGGCTGTGATCTGAAAGGGGAGGTGGGCAGGCAGGTGTGAGGTGAATCTACATCACAGGGTCACATTCTGGGTGTGTGGACTCTAGAAGGCCTGCACACCTCTGGGGCTCAGAAGCTGTCCCTTGGGGAGCTTTCAAGTAGCTTCTTGTTCCATGACTAACCACCAGCTTTCTTTCATCCATGACCAGATACCTAAAATATTTCTTTAGCCTACCATAATTATCTCTAAAGCCCACTGTAGTTCCCAGGAAGCTCCTTGGGAATCCCAGGGTTCCTCCAGTGTCCACTGTATTATAAATTCTAAGAAGGCAGGAACCACATCTACTTTTCTCACCATTGACTCCCTGATGCTCCAAATGGTACATATAGCACCACAGCCTTAAATCAACAAATATGTGGATGTAAGTCCTTCCCACCCTGCCTCCTCCACTGCCATCACCTTCCTCTTGTCCGAATAAATTACTATGGCCAATATCTGTGAAGCAATAAGACTCTCTGCAAAGACTGAGCCCCCCAGGTTCCTAATCTTTCCTGCTCTCCTTCTTTCGGAATGTTCCTCCCCTTACCCCATAAACTATAAATGAACCCCCCCTCCCAAGGTGTGAAATCTACAGACACAAAAGGTACAAAGAGTGTGCACTCCAGCTATTGTTGCTTTAGTATGTTCTTTAAGCAGGTTGTCTCTGCTTCTGTTTCTTCTCACTGCCTCACCCCTGCTCAAATCCCTTCCTGTGCATTCCCCAACCCAAGGAAGGGCACCTTGGAAGGAGTTCCCATGGCCTGCTTCATGCCTAATCTCTGTTCTGGGCACACAGTTCATTGGTCAGCTCATTGGATTTCTGACCTTCATATTGACCCAGATACGTTGGGTTCTTGCTAGCACTTTGTTCTCTCATTCTCCCCAAATCCCAAATTCCTTTAGGGCTCCCTCCAGCCTATCTCTCCATGATCACAGTAACTGAATGAAAGTTGACACAAAGAAAAGTTTTCAATCACCTGAAATGTCTTGCTTTGGCATGTCCCAGTACTTTTCCTTCTTCAGGGTGTCAACACTTTAATGTCCTTATTTAACAGACCTGCCTCTTGGGAACCCTAGGAGACTGTCCTTTATTAATATACTTGGTTGTTAAATGATCCAGTTTTCTTTTTACCTTTCCTCATGGGTTGTTGGCCAGCTAAAATGACTTAGGAGTCTAACTAGCAAAGTAGAATGAACACCCGACTGAGAGTCTTCAGATCTGTGTTAAATTCCCAACTTTACCTCACCTCCCTGTATGACATGGGAGCTTTCTTAACCATCCCAACTCTTGGTTTCCTCCTATAAAATAGTCTGTGAGGCGTCTTCTAGCCAGGACAACATCATGCCCTATGACACTCTCGTGTCTGCATGAAGAGCGGTGGTGAGGATGACAGTAAACACCCACTCATCCCAAATTCACTCAGTTGGGTGTTCTACAGGAGCTTGGATTTCATTCATTCTTTCATTTGTTCCTTCAACAGTTATTGATTATGTGCTGTGTGTGAGACACTGGGCTAGGTGCTGGGGATACAGAGAGGAAGGACACACAGTTCTGCTACTCAGGAGCCCATGGGCTGGCTGATCATACCTTACAAATTAAAAACTGACCTAGACTACAGGGCATTAAATTCTGCACTTGCAGTGTCTGTGTGATTTGGTCTGGAAGCAGAGAGGAGGGAAGAATCCTCTTCCTGAGCTTGAACTCCCTCAATGATAGGGAAGTCAGGCCAAGATTGAAATTGCCCATGACTGACAATAGCAGAGCTCATGGTAGGTGCTCAAGAGACATGGACTAATTAAATAAAGGACAGTCACAATTTCCAGTAAAATCTGAAGCAGTAAACACATGCATTTATCTCCTTTCCCACCTTAAATCCCACCAACATGACAGCAAAGCGATAAATAAAATAAATAAATAAATAAAATGGTATACATGATCAAGGGCAAGAAAGTGAGAGGATGTGACAGTAGATGAGGGATATCAACGTTTTGGAAGATGGGATGGAGATGGACAAATGGAAATGAGTCTGCAAAGGTGGGAGCCAAATAAAACAAGCAGGTTCTCACAACAAGACCCAGACAAGTTTCAGAAATTGGAGTAACCAGGAACCCCCAAGGATGAGGATGAAGGAAGGGCTGACCTACTTGGGGAGACCTCAGAAATCTAGGTCCCTTTGCCCACCCTGTGCGTTCAGACAATTCCCTCTGACTCACCCTGGCAGAAGATCTGAGCATTAGCCAGACACCCTGGACTAGGGGCCCCTCCTGCCCCCACACACTCAACAGAGGAGATGACCAGTAACAAAAACAGAGGGATTAGGTGAAAGTCTACATATCAAACAGTGAGATTCCCTCCTCTGCTTGTTTACCAGAATATTGGCAACCCTGAGCAGAAAACCAGAGGATTCTTTTTTTAAAATAAATTTTTAAATATTTTATTTATTTATTTATTCGAGAGAGAGAGAGAGAGGCAGAGACACAGGCAGAGGGAGAAGCAGGCTCCATGCAGGGAGCCCGATGTGGGACTCGATCCCCGGTCTCCAGCATCGGGCCCTGGGTTGAAGACAGGTGCTAAACCGCTGAACCATCCAGGGATTCCAAAAACCAGAGGATTCTGATCTGAGATTGGCTGTCCCTAAAGAAAATACTTCCACAAGCTAATATTTGGGAGGTCCCCAACAGCACAAATAAGTCACCTTGTTGACAATTCTATTTTCAAACCCGTCACTTCACAGATTTTAGCTATCCACATGGAGCATCCAATGCCATTTAAATATTTCACTCTTAAATGTGAATGAACTACCAAAGATTCTCAGACATTGTAGGAAAGTTTCTAATATGATAAGCAGAGATCAAAACAAATGAACAATAATTGGGTAGAGATAATACAAGGAACAGAAGGAAACATTTAAAAACAATCCATGTAGAGGGAAAGGAATAGATATATTGCCTCTATGAAACAAGAACAATCTTCTATAAAAAGATACGTTTAGAAGATAAAATAGAGCTTTTAGACATGAAAAAATGTTAGCAGAAAAAAAATTAACAAAAAGTTAATATTTAAGGGGCACCTGGGTGGCTCAGTCAGTTAAGTGTCTGCCTTTGGCTCAGGTCATTATCCCAGGGTTCTGGGATGGAGCCCTGCATCAGGCTCCTTGCTCAGCAAGGTGTCTGGTTTTCCCTCTCCTTCTGCTTGTGCTCACCCTCTCTCTCTCTCTCAAATAAATAGATAAAATCTTTTTTAAAAGTTGGTATTTAAAATGAGGAAATCTCTCAGAAGGTGGAACAAAAAGATGGAAAACAGAACAGAATGGATTAACAAAACTGGAGAATCAGTCCAGAATTTACAACATCTAAATTGTAGGAGATCCAGAAAGAGAAAATAAAGAAAGCAGACATCTGGAACTTATTTAAAAAATAATACAAGAGTGGCGTGTGGGAAAATGAGTGAAATAAGTGATGGGGATTAAGGCATGCACTTGTCATGATAAGCCCCGGATGATGTGTGGAAGTGTTGAATCACTGTATCCTACACCTGAAACTAATATTACACTGTATGTTAGCTAACTGAAATTTAAATAAAAACTTAAAAAAATGAGAAGAAAAGTACAACATAAGGAATATAATCAATAATATAATAACATTATATGCTGACAGATGGTGACTACACTCATGAGAGTAAGCACTAAGCAGTGTATAGAACTATAATTTCAATGTTGCACAATTGAAACTAAGATAACATTGTCAACTACACATCAGTAAAATAAAAGTAAAAATAAAAATAAACATAGTCCCAGAAGGCTAAAAAAAAAAAAAATACAAGAGCTTTCCTGGAATTGAAGGACTAGATTTAAAACTCTTGGTTGGGGTGCCTGGGTGGCTCAGTAGGTTAAGCATCCTACTCTTGGTCTCGCCTCAGGTCATGGTCCTGTCGTTGTGAGATCAAGCCCCACATCAGACTCTGTGTCAGTGTGGAGTCTGCTTCAGATTCTCTCTCCCTCTCACTCCCTCTCTCTCTCTAGTAAATTAATAAGCTCTTAAAAAAAAAAGTCTCGGGGCACCTGGGTAGCTCGGTAGTTGAGCGTCTGCCTTCAGCTCAGGTCGTGATCCTGGGGTCCTGGGATCGAGTCCCACATGGGGTTCCCTGCAGAGAGCCTGCTTATCTCTCTGCCTATGTCTCTGCCTCTCTCTCTGTGTCTCTCAGGAACAAATAAATAAAATCTTTTTAAAAATTAAAAAAATTTAAAGAGTCTTTAGATTAAAAACCCTGTTTAATGAATACAAAAAGACTTGCATCAAGGCACATCAGAATGAAAATTTAGAATACTGCCAGTAAAGATGGAAAATGTTCCAAAAGTTCTAGAGAGAAAAAACTAAGGTTGGGAAATCATACTTGTACCAGACTTAACATTAGAGCATGCAGACTGTATCATCAAAATTCTGAGAGAAATTGTTTGTAACCCAGATCAACTATTCATCAACTGTGAGAGTAGAACTAAGATATTTGTGGATATGTAAGATCCTTTGTCATTTATTCTCTCATACCTTTTCTGAAGGAGAATGTGCGCCTCCAAAATGAGGGACTAAACAAGAAAAGAAAATGATATGGGGTTCAGTTCCAGCACAGGTTAGGTAAAGGAAATGCCCAGAAGGAGAGAGAAGGGACTCCCAGAACGCGCAAGGCTCTAGAGAGCAAGGAACTCAGATGGAGGACATAAAGCATCAAGGGATCTCCAAGTGGGATGTCACCAATGCAGAGAATGAAGAGATTGAGATATGAAGTTGATTATGTCCAGAGGCTAAGAGTTTGGGGGAGCTTAGATAACTGATAGAACTAGGCAAACTACAAATCAAAACAAAAACAGAAAGCCCCCCCAAAAAACTCCATGTGATTACTGACTCCTGGGAGAAAGCCAGAGAGGCAAGGACATATAATTACTGTACACCATGTGCTCAGAGGGAATATTTTAAAGTCATGATAATGTCAATAACTAGAAATGCTAATAATGGTAGATTGGGAAGATGGGGTGGTGAAATGTGTTGCAGGTCTAGGAGAGGTAAAGCGAGTCCTCTTCTATAGTTGGAAATTAAGTGATCGTATGAAAAAACAATAACATAATAAGCGTGCTCTTTATGCCAGTGAAAGTCAATGCCAGATGGAGCAGCTACGTGAACTATAAGCACTGCCCCTGGGAGAGGCACTGCTTCTGGGAAGAAGGCTGGAGACTGCTGTTTGCATTATAAGCCTTGTATCCTCATTTTTTACAAGAACTTTGTGCAGGAATGATTTCGATACAAATGAAATTTAACCCAAAAGATAATGTAAAGCGATATTTTTAAAGTGTCCGTATCCTGGGACGCCTGGGTGGCTCCGTGGTTGAGCATCCTTTGGCTCAGGTCATAATCCTGAGGTCCTGGGATCTAGTCCCACATGGGGCTCCCCACGGGGAGCCTGCTTCTCCCTCTGCCTGTGTCTCTGCCTCTCTCCCTTGTCTCTCATGAATAAATAAATAAAATTCTTTTAAAAAATAAAGTAAAGTGTTCTTATCCGGCCACTTGAACAGTCACCTCATCTTTCGTTATTATTTAGAACCAGCTTCCTGATCTGATAGAGCCTGTACTCCACAAATAGTTGGTGGATCTTTACTGACTGAAGTTTGAGTCCCTGCTCTTTGACTCCAGGGTTTTGCAGTATTTGTGTGTGTTCCTCTGTTTGACTTCCAAAGGCAGGGCCTGCCCCGCCGCCCTCTCTTGCTCTGTGGGCCCCAGATGGTTAGCAGGGGCAGGGCCTCTGGTGGAAGGTTGTGCCCTTGGGCAGACCTTGGCCTCCCTGGGTCTGACTTGGGCTCTTCATTCATCCTTTGCCATTCAAGGCACAGCCATGTCCCCCTGCCTCTGGGCTCCGGGCCAGAGGCTTCCTCCCCAGAGTTCCCTTCAGGACCCCCACCGCAGCTCACTGTGACTGAGTCCTGCTCACAGTCTTGGGATGGCTCCAGGTCGAAGTCCTGGAAGACAAGCCTCACAGCAAAGCCGTCCGGAGCCTCGATGTCAGTGGAGCTCTCTTGGCCTTTGCGATATGGCTCTGGATACCCGGGGGATGTCAGCTGCTGGGGCAGCTGCTGGGCCAAGAGCACGGAGCCCTGCGTGGGGCAAGCCTGGAAGACTCCCCAGAGGAGTAGCCACCACCTGTGAGCGGGTGAGAGCAAGATGTGGCCACACAGCTATGGCCTGAGGCCTGTGGAAATATGAAGAGCAGGGGCAGGTGAAACTAAGAGATTGAGAGGGTCAGCAAAGGCATTGGCAGCTGTGGCATGAGCCCCGGAGGCCTGGGCACCTGCTGGCTCCTCCTGCGGTGCCCCTCCTCACCCCGATTCCTTCAGCCTTCTAGCCAACGTGAGCTCCGACTGCGAGTTTTCCACCTCTGCTCGCGTCCCTGGACAGTCTCAATCAAAGTAGCGGGCTGTTTTCTGCTTAGGCAAGTCCCAATCCCACCCTGGGACCTGGGGGAGCAAAGGTGGTAGGAGGGGGACATTTGAATGCGTTGAATACTTCCTGGCTCGCAGGTCATGGAGCCTGACCAACTCCAGGGAAGGCTTCTGGAGGCTACAGGCAACTCTCCAGTTCCCGGGGCAGTAACTGGCTCTGTGTGTGTGTGTGTGTGTGTGTGTGTGTGTGCACGTCCCTGGGCCCCCCTTCCCCTCTCCCCGCCAGCCTCTCCTCCAGGCCTTTCTGTGGGCGCACTCACATCTTGCCCGGGCAGCCTGTGGACTGGGGGCTTCTCCAGAGGTCATTTCCCAGCTGTGAAACCAGGCATCTGGAACTGGACATCTGGGACCTGGATGCCAGGGAACAGGAGGTGGGGCTGGGGAAGGCCCTGTGTGGGAGGAGGGAGAAGTTACTGGAAATGAGTTAAGTAATTGTCCAGTTCCTTTTTTTCTAATTCTCTGGGTCGAGTGCCATCTGCTGTCTGATTCAGGCATAGTTCACCCACCACAATGAAGAGGAAAAACACCCGCCCAAGCCACATTGCCCTCAAAAGATAGCAGGGGGCCAGGAAGGCACCGACTCTTAACTCTTTTATACTGTTTAAAACTAATTTTCACCTTGTACACGTATCACACGGTAGGGTGGCTTTTTTGTGTTAAGGATGTCATCTTTATTTTTATTTTTTAAAGATTTTATTTATTTATTCATGAGAGACACACAGAGAGAGGCAGAGACATAGGCAGAGGGAGAAGCAGGCTCCCATCAGGGAGCCTGATGTACTTGGGACTCGATCCCTGAACTCCAGGATCATGCCCTGAACTGAAAGCAGAGCTTAACTGCTGAGCCATCCAGGTGTCCCTTATTTTATTTTATTTTTTTAAAGATTTACTTATTTATTTATTCATGAGAGACACAGAGAGAGGCAGAGACACAGGTAGAGGGAGAAGCAGGCTCCCTGCAGGGAGCCTGATGCGAGACTTGATCCTAGGACCCCAGATCACGACCTGAGCCACCCAGGCATCCCAAGGCTGTCATCTTTAATGGGCCATACCTCTCCCTCCCTGACCTTTCTACTCACTCATGTTATTAGACTGTCCTTGTAGAAATTGAAGTTTGTGACTCACAAACTTGAGCTGCTCCTTGCTCCTCTCTCATCAAACGTGGGTTGGGCCCTTGGGTAGTTCCCTGAATCCTGCCTATAGCCCCTGGAAGCTGCTTGTCTGGCAGGGTCAGGCTGGGGCAGGGGTGGGGGCAGGCCCAGACTCAAACTTCTTGACCTAGATACCAGAGACCATAGCAGGGGGCAGAGGCTGCCCTCCCTGCACCCCCAAGAGAGACACTTGACCACGGCTTGGTAAAGGGCCAGAAGCCCTTCTGGAGGCCAGTGGTGCTGTCCTCAAAGGAGGTAGGTATGTGGAAAGTCAGCACCCTGAGGACACAAACTCCCCCTGACCAGGGAGGGCTGCCCAGCGGGGAGCCCTGTGGCCCATAGAAGACTCAGAGCAGTCTCTGATGGCTGGATCTGAGAGGGGAGGGGATGAGGGGAAGCTCCTTCTAGAAGTTTTGCACATCTCTGGGGCTCAGAGTTCTAACACGTGATGGCTTTGTCGAACAGTTCTACTTACCCTTTCTCTCCCCATTCTGCTAAACACAGAGGCTGCCATATGCTGAGAATGGCTCCTTACCCACTCCACTGCTCTTGGTCCTCTCTTCTTTCAAGAAGCTCTTTGGGGTGCTCCCAAACAGTGCTCTAGGCCAGGTAGCACGCTCCATCAAGGCAGGGACTATGGCTAACTTGGCTCACCATCACTGATGGCTAACATGGTGCCTAGCATATGTACATAACCACGAAACACATGGGGTTGAATCTTGACTATATGGGTAGAAAATCTCTTAGTTGGCTTCCTCTCTGTCCCTCCCATACTAATCCTCGAATCCCCCTCCCTCCAGCCCCACTATCACTTTGCTCAGTTATCACTGAGTACTTTTCTGCTACTGCTTTTTGGGACCTGACCTTTCCCGCTTTCCCTTCTTCTGCAGGATACCTCCCCTACCCCACACAGGTGGCAACACACACAGGGTTGTCACACAGCTATCTAATAACAAGAGTGAGAAAAATCTAAAGGTACAAAACATACTGAAACCAGTTTACTTCTGTAATATTGTGTAATCCTGTAATGGCAATAAGCAGCACCTTCCAGGCTCTCTGTGGGTCATCCCAAATGACCAGGTTCCTCCTCAAGAGGCAGCCCTCTGGATTCTACACTGTCCTAGAGAATCCTTCCTCCATCCTTAGTCCAAGGGAGAGCTCAGTAGGCACTCCCTCTCACCCCCATTCCAGAAGTAATCTCTATTCTGGGCCCATGCACACTGCTCAGGTTCTGGTCATACGTTCTCTTCCTCATTACTTCTTCCCTTATTGCTACCCCCTCCCCCTTCTTCAGGTCCTTGTGCACTTGCATCCTCCTCCCTGGTCCAGACTTGAGCTCCAACAGCTTCCTCTCCTCTAAGCCTCAAGTCACCCTGTCTTCCTGCAGAGTTTCTAGCTTGAGAAGGCAGCTTCCCCCTGAACCTGAGACTTTATTTATTTATTTTTTTTAATCTCTCAAGTGATAGGGATGCAGTGGAGATGGTGACTCCAAATATCATGGTCAGGGCATTTATTTGTCTTCCTTTGGTTACTCCCAGGTAGAGCTGTTATGGGCCACACATTCCAAATCCCCTCAAGTTAATCAAACCCAGGGTTGTGCTACTTCCCTTTTCTCTTTCTGCCTCTTCCCACAAGGCTAATTCATAGCTTTCCTGGTAGATCACAGGGCGAGGATTCCTCCTGTCATTTGAAATTATCATAGACTCTTAAACTCTTTGAAAAAGACAAATAGGGATCCCTGGGTGGCGCAGCGGATTGGCGCCTGCCTTTGGCCCAGGGCGCGATCTTGAAGATCCGGGATCGAATCCCACGTCGGGCTCCCGGTGCATGGAGCCTGCTTCTCCCTCTGCCTGTGTCTCTGCCTCTCTCTCTCTCTGTGTGACTATAATAAACTAAAAAAAAAAAAAAAAAAGAAAAAGAAAAAGACAAATAGAGTCATGAGATTTTACCTTTATGCTTGAAAGGACAAGATAGTCCCAAAGGTATTCTTCTGTTGTAACAAACAAACAACAATCTCATAATTCTTTATGCCTTTTTGAAATTGAGGAGGTTAATTTAAATAATTGTTTTCAGGGGTGCCTGGATGGCTCAGTCAGTGAAGTGTCTGACTCTTGGTTTCAGCTCAGGTCATGATCTTAGGGTCATGAGATTGAGGCCTGCCTCTGACTCTGAACAGGGCATGGATCCTGCTTAGGATTCTTTTACTCCTTCTCCCTTTGCCCCTCCCCCTACTTTTGCGCGCGCGCGCACGCGCGCGCGCGCTCTCTCTCTCTCTCCCTCTCTCTCTCTCTCCCTTCTCTCTTTAAAATAAACAAACAAACAAATAAATAAAATATTGTTTTCAGACTAATAAGTTATTGATGGCCAGCCAGAGTTGCAGACTTTTAAGGTTTACAGATTGCATTGTATTGGTCATACAGCATTCTCCTCTGATGTTTGCATGTCTTAAAAAATTCCTTTGTGCAAATTACACTTCCAAAGATGATATAAATATAACATGGAACAGGATTACATATTTTCACACCAGTGGGACTGAATGTTCTTGATTTACCACTTTATCAGAATCAACTCTATGAAGCAGAATCGTGTCTAATTTTCTGCAACTCTAGGATAAGAGGGAATATGTTCTTATCCTGCTGAGGTTTATTTTGTGAGCATTTGTGGGGCTTGCTTTTTAAAACCAAGCACCAGAATTTCATTTTAGGGTATTTGGAGGGAAAAAAGCCTGAGAAGCTTAAAAGGTACAAAAGAGAAAGTCAACAAATGGAATATGAAGTCCATTCTGATTTTCACCTACAATTGAGAGACAGTTCCATCTACTCCAGGGCAGGTGAGAGGGTTTGCCCCAAGAAGGCAATGGGGCTGTGGCCGGGGAGGGCTCTGGGTGCAGGAAGTGACAGAAAGTCACTGGAAATATAGTAATTCTCAGTATGGCCTTAAAAAAAAAATCTCTAGAGTAGACAGCACTTGCCATCAGGCTTAGGGATAGCTAAAATATTGGAGAGAGGGTTTTTTTTTTTTTTTGTTGTTGTTTTTTTTTTTTTTTTGGAGAGAGTTTTTTTTACTCCAGTTGAGGTTGGATGTCTCTGAGATCAAGAAGACCTCTTACCCACTAACACTCAGACTTGAGAAGCTGAAGGAAAGTTCAGTGGAGGCTTGCCAGCTGTTCATGTTTTAAAACTGCTCTATTTCTAAGACTCTATTTCTATTTCTTTATGCTCCTGTTTCTCTATTAATCACTCCCCAGACTCTATCTGTACCCTTTCTTTCCAGACCGGGTGTTCTGGGAAGTGGAGCAATGGCCATAGGGAGGCCCCAGGACACTACCTCATAGCAGAGAGAGGAAGACTCTTCTGGTGAAGGCAAGTAGAATCTACTTCCATGGACTCCTCCTCAGTTCCTGGCCTGCACTGTTCCACCTTGCCTTGAATTGGAAATCTTGAGATACAGCTGCTGTCTGAGGTCCTGCCTCCTTATTGGATGTTAGAGCATGTAAAGTGGCTGACTGGTCTTCATGGGGCCCAAGGGAGGGAAGCATGAAGACCCTTAGAAGTCTAGGTTGGGCCACTTAGTGCCAATTGCAGCAGAGGGAGGAGCAAATGGAGCCCCAGAAGAGGAAGCCTTCCACTGCCCCCTGTAGGTAAAAACTTAGGACCTGCAGGAACTGCCCAAGAATGAGAGGGACCAGGACAGGAGCCCCCAGGCATCTGCTTTGGGAAGAAGACCAGTACTGAACCAGCCATTGGATCATAAGATTTAGGGGCTGGGTATTGTGTTCTTTGTCTCCGATGTTCTCTGTCATGTTGTTTTGATCATGCTTCACTATAGCCACTCCTTCATCATACATCTGTCTAACCACTATCAGCCCTAACAATACTGGCCACTTTGGCATTTATTTTCACCCACCCCAATTCACTTTCTTCAAAGACATTCTCAGGGGCAGAAGTGCTTCTATTTCCCCATCATAGTCATCATGCCCCTCTTTGAGTCTGATAGACCTAGTAGGATTGTTAGTGCTGTACCCATGAGGCTATTAACTCTCTCTTTGTAGCTTTGGTAGACTAACTATATCCGATCTTCCAGAACACTCTTTAGGGTCACCTGTTGGGAGAGTATATGTCTCAGTTTGGTTGGAACAGTCTCAGTTCACACTGGTTGTCCTGGTGTAATTATTACTAGTGGCCTCCTCTTTCAAAAGAGTCTTGATTTGGATAATAGGCT